TGAATATTCTCACTTATTCATATTCTCCCATGCTGAAATAAGCATATTAAATATTGACATGAGAAAGAGAGGAACCACAGGGGAAAAATTGAGTGAAAAATTAAGAGGGAAAAGCAGCACGGAAGAAGGGCAAACCTGATATGACGTGGGGATTTTTATCTCTATAGGTATGTTTTTTTCCGGGGCTTTATCATTCCTGCAGGCGTGCAAAATTCCCGCCTCGTCTCCGCGAATTGAGAGCAAGTGTTTCTCAAAATGTTGCCACGAAAAGAGGGGGCCTAAAAATAGCTTTCACACTTGAAAATCATTCAGAGGAAAAAATTTTTTTTTCTTCTTAAAAATATATACACCACAAAATCTACAAGAGTTTTAGAGGAAAATGCGCGCGGCACGGCACAAAAAAGACCCGCCAAAGTGGCACTTTTTGTGTGCGTGCCTCATGATCTTCTCCACTTAGTGTCACGCAGAGACGCGGAAAAGACGCGAAAGAATGTGGAAAACAACATTATTCACGCGGGGTGTAAATTTTAGCGCCCTTTTTCGCGCAAGGTGGTGTGAAATACTGTAACTTTTATGTGGTTGACTCTGGGGAAAAAATACTCATTTGTGTAGACCTCGTGCCAAAACATCGCTGTATTCAGTCTAACTTTCTTGCGGCTCGACTGACACTCGCCAGACACTTTTAACAGGTGCCACATCATCTTTTTGCCCACAAATACCCATTCAATTCGTCATAACACCCAGCTTTTATGGCTCTCTTGCAGTTTCCACGTCACCTTTTCACCTCCTTTCGCGCGTCAAATTATCCTTGATGTGTTCCGAACACATCAAACGCCGAGGAGTGCTTTCAATTTAGCCAAAGCGACGAAGGACCTTTTTAAAGTGCAGAAGATTGGCTTAGGATTTGTCCCGGCTCAAGTTTCAATATAGCTATATCCTGTGCAGGGTTTCTGGGTTGGCGCCAAAGCTGAAGAGATCCTCCAGTAGTGAATAAATGAGGGGAAAATTAAATTTTCCCTCCGGATGTCCGTCTATTTTGTGCCTTCTCCGAACTATGTGTATGCGACGGGACGCTCTGGAATGTGGAAAGTTTTCACACTGAGAGAGATATATTTGACTTCATTCGGAAAACTTGCAGCTCGTAATTTTTCGCGTTGTCAATTGACTCGCCACACAACTTACCCGCGAGAGCTTTTAGTGAGTTTGGCCAAAGAGTCATTAATCTGTGAGTGCACTTCATGGTGAATTTCCCATGGGAAGTCTTATCAAATTTTCATCCACATTCTCTGACTCGCTTCCAATCGCAAGAAGGGTGTCAATTAAAGCTCAGTCCCGATGCAATGGAGCGATGTGAATATGATAATTACGCTAAAACCATGTCCTATTCAGATGCGCGGGATTTTTACAGCGCCAGCCAAAAAAAAAACGTCAAGTAACATTTTCCACGGGGAATTGAGTCGGGAAAAATGTTTTCATATGCACAATTGGGGAGGCGAACGTGAAGGTAGCCTCATTAAAAATCCACACGGCGTGCAAATGAAAAATTCACCGATGCCGCCTGTGGAGGAAATTGGCGAAAGATTGCCAATTTTGTGAGTGAAATCGCACAAAGAATTTCTAATGATATCTCCCACAGTCATGCAAACGACTCACGAGGAAATCGCTTAAAAGCCATTTATCACACACATTTTCCAAAAGGTGTACAGAAATAATTTTAACGATGTGAATCAATTTCGGGGTGTGTATGATAGAGAATCAATGACGCAGAGGCATTGTGAGAGTATCTCGTGTCAGCAATTTGTCACCATATTTCGTGCTTTGCCTACCCGAATAGATATTTTCCAGCGATAAAGCTCAGTCAGTATGGATTTTGGACGCGTTCCAGGACGTCCTGAGGAATGGCGCTTGATTTAAATGCATGAAAATGAGCCCTGACACTAATTTTGAACTGAAATGTAAAATATTTCCAATTACTTCCATTCATTTGTAACATTTGAGGGTTGAAAAGTGTCTTTGTACATTAATCTTTAAGTGATTAAGCGATTAGTTGGAAAACACTTAAGATGTTATCAATTTAACGACTTAACTCCTATTCTTTAGCTTGTAAATAAAGACATTAAATTCGCCTATTAGTGTAGAAAAATCCGTCAATTGACATTTACTCCTTGACGAAAGTTATAATCTGTGCGTGCAATCAACGCCTAATCGCTCTTATGACTATTTATATGTGTACATATCGAGCTTTCTTGCGCGGCACCTTGTCTAATCTCTCACTCCGTCTCAGCATTTTACTTATACGGGGTACTTTTGCCTTATCAGTGAAGCTGAGCTTAAGCCAGAAATATATCTTCTTTCTGCCATTACATGGGCGTGGGTTTGAAATATGCGATTAGGTTGGGAGAGGTGCAAGTGAGAAGTATGATGTGGGGATAAAGCGCAAAAAGCACATATCTTCACCTCTGGCAGTGCCCTTAAATTAATTTTACATAAAGCGAGAGATAGAACGCTTGCGTGTGGGTGAATTTTTACACTGTCCGTGTCAATGGAAAATTGTGAGATACGCGCGCGTCGCTGTCTGATAAAATGCACATAATGATGAGAAAATTCTCGGGGTAAGAAAATGCGGGCAAAGTGGCACCCTGAGAGAGATGCGAATGTGGAGCAAGACGTGACACAATGGACTGTAAGATGACGCTATAATTGGAGAGTCTTGTATGGGGAAGAGATTGAGATGATGCTGTAAAAATTTTACCACTCCACCAGGACAGTGGCGATGGACAGAGAAACGACGCTTCATGGATTATCCTGGATGTAATTAAAATTTTACTGCGTCCATTTACGATTATGGCAATAAATTAGTGAAACTAAATTTCCCCGTCTTAATATCATCCCCTCGCACAATGCCCAGGGATGAATATTGGTCGAAGGCAGAATTTACTAGAACACTCTCAAGCGCGACTCTCTGTTGTGGTAAATGAGCTGAAGAAAAACATATATCCCAAGTGGGAATGTGAAAAGCTTTTCCTTAATGGAATTTTTGATTTGTAAAGCTCACTCTCGCTCCACATGACGTTTTTGTTCTTCGCCCACACTCGCACTTTGGCGAGTGAGAGCAACAGAAAAAAGAGCCAAATCTCAATGCAATATTTCATGTCAATTGAGTCTGGGGCTTTTCTGTTGAAATCTCCGTCACGTCGAGAAAGCTAGAGAAATTTCACGATACTTTCACACATTTAGGCGACACAAAAAAAAGGAATCAGCGTTAAAATTGCAAAAATTAATCATACAGGAACATGCTAGAGGTTTATGTTTGCAAATATTCAAATTCACTCAATCTATATCCGATTTTATCACACACAATTAGTTGACAATCCCATGAAGCATTTCCATTGCATCGATTTGTTGTGGAGCTTTTGTAGGACGCTTTTTCCCGTCACGAAATCCAATAATATGCAATTTTTATTTTCAATTCTGAACAATCAATGCACAAAGGGTGGTAAAATGTTGGTTTTTTTTTCATGATTTACAGTACATTTCTATCATGTTGTTAGATGCGCTCGAGCAGAATGCTTTGTGAAAGCTTAATAAGGCTTCAATTTCCATATTCAAAGTTTGGGTGATAAATGATAAAATATGCGCTAAATTTGAATAATATTCTGAAGATTCTGTGCGCTCTTTGCCAACAAAGTGTTAACAACGTGATTTGCATTGCAATTTCAAAAAGTATCAACTATGCATTGCAACTATGTGCGCAACTTTAACAGCTAATGCCGAAGATGCCATGTTGAATTTTACCCAAAAAAAAGACCGGAATGCAATAGACTAAAAGGTATTCCACTGAGCATTATAAGCTTTTATCCAATCAGGTGGCTGTCGATCGTTTCAATAAACATCGGCTTTTTATCGGTTGAACATATACGAGTGTAAGTGTTTCTTGTGTGCGGAAGAAAATTAGATTGAGAGCTTGATTAACTCCGAAGTGGCTTCTGAATATTCTGTGTAAATATTTGGTAGCGATTTTCTCTGGTGGGAAATCTTCGAGTGAGGCGGGAAAAAGAAACATTGACCTTCCTCAAAACAAACTTCGAAAGCTCGACCGCCGAAAAAGAAGCACAGAAGACTAAAAAAAACATCCGCATGGGTGGAAAAGGACGATAAATAGAGAGTCATTGACACTTTAGCTAGTTTGTCACCCACACTCCTGCAATCGAGCTTTTGCGCCATCCCTGGAAGTGTTTGATGTCCGCTTGTGCTGTAGCAAACGAAATGCTGTGTTTATGTTTTTCCGCATCGGAGGGCAGATGAAACAATAAATTTTCACCTCCTGTATTCCATCAAAATCACAAAAAGCATGCATAAGAAAACACATCACAATAGATTCTCCCCACAAAATACAGTGTATGTTAGAGTTGGAGTCACAAAAAGCCCTCAGTGAAAAAGCCTCTCACCACTATGCACACAACAACACAATGAAGTTTTATCTTTAGTAGAATTGTGTAACAAATGCTGGATGTTTTGCCACATTTCGCCTATAGTGTGAGGCTGCTTACATAAGTAATGCTAGAGCTTTCTACTATGTATGCGGGTGGGGGAAATATTGGGTGGGTGGGCAAGAGAGATGGGCAATGAAGGAGTGGTGAAAGCACATTTCGCAAAATCGCAAAAAGGATTCGCCATTCTGAGAAATTCGCAGTGTGGAGAATTCTTACGGGAATTTATGGCCAATTTTCCCAGAGGTCAAATTTCACAATATGCGCGCGCCCCAATGGAGTGTAGAAGGAAAAAAAGAGGACGCGATAGAATTGATGGAAGTGACCGAAACGTGGTGCGAGGTGTGTTAAACCGATCCGTTGTTGAAATTTTTCAAGGGATAAAAGCTTGGGAATTAACGAGGAAGAAATTCAATTTGGGCAATAATTGCAAGGGGTTTCTCACTTGACACCATGTGACACTCTTTTTTCTCTCTTCCACCCCGTTCGCCATCGTGTGATCTCTTGCAGCTCCGAAAACCTGTGTCCACGTTGTCGATTCCAGGCTCCATGAAGACACCGTGTGCCGGAAATCGGGAAACCGTAACGGCTGCATGCAACGAAGAGGCCGGCATCGCACTCGTAGGAGTTCATTCCGAATATCCCAGGTAAGCTCACCACACACACACACACACACACACCACAATCGCACACCAGAAATCCCACAGCAAATTCTTCAGGAGACAGAGAAAGCTCAGAGCCTGAAATTCATGCTTATAAGCGGGGAATTTCCAATCAAATATCAGCAATACGCCGCACAGTTGCGGTGAAACTATTGTTAATGGCCACTTCTTTGATGTGTGCTTCATCCGCTTCATCGCTCCGAGGAGTGTTTGTCAATCGATCACTCGCATAGCGCTTAGGGTAATTAACAGTGAAGCTGTTACGGTTGACTTTTCAATAATTGAGATTGGAAATTACCTGCAACACTATAGTTTTCCCCATGGCAGATGGCAAGTGCGCAGAGGCACCGCAAAAAGCCACCGACACACGTGCTGGGCGTCTCAATGGCCGTGTGTCCATTAATCTGCCAGCGCTGACATCCAAGATGATGGCGCTGAGTCGTGTGTTTGTCGTTGCAGGTACATGGAGGAGCGAGGCCTAGGTGGCGGCATAATTAAAGGGTCTAGCGTGACTTCTGGTACGGGAACACAAAAGCACAAACCAAATGTTGGATATCGTTTGGGACGTCGGAAAGCGCTCTTCGAGAAGAGGAAGAGAATCAGTGACTACGCTCTGGTGATGGGCATGTTTGGCATTATCGTGATGGTGATCGAAAATGAATTGAGTAGTGCTGGCATATACACAAAAGTAAGTCAATATAATTTACTTCCGCTCCTCCTCACCACATATAGGCTCACAAATTCACCCTTCAGCACATTGAGAATTCCCCGAAGAGCGGCGTGCGTGTGAGGAAATTTAAATTTTTCAACACATCCGCTCTCAAATGGGACAAAATATCCGTGCTGAGGTGCACCTGAGAGTCCAATAATCGATTTAAGGACATCACTTACTCAGCCTTGAACCAAAACTCTAATAGCCGAGTATTGATTTCTTTGTGTAAAAAAAGAGAAACACCCCTCGATTGATTCCATTTCTGCTTTATTATTCTTTCCTCCTCTCAATTCCATCATTTTCCCCTGAATTCTTCATTCATCGCCTCTCACTGCATATTCATCTGTTAGTGTTGTTGTTTTTTTTTTAATCCTTTGCACTTTGTTAAAAATCCCTCGTTCGTGACATAAAATACTATATTTCGTCGTGGAACAACTTTATTCTACAAAGTTCTTAAGAGAGTGTGAGAGCTTTTACCAGGCGCCTCCATCTCATGTTTCTCATTCTTTGACAACTTTAACAACACGAGCGTAAAATAAAACTGACCAAAGAAATTTTTTTATCAAGATTACATATATCTCAAATATATCTTTTGGTCCTTTCCTTGAAATTCAAACCTCATGGGAATGAATGATTGGACTGAAAAGTTTCTATCTCCATTTCCGGTGGCCATTTGAGGAGAGCAAAGGAGGAGCTCGAAAGGGCTGTAAAAGTGGAAATGTGTTGTCCATATGGCGACTTTCTATTTGCATTTACTCTCTTGGCCTCTTCTCTGTGTCCACACTCGAGTCAGGCGAGTCTTCCGCCGAGCACAAAAGCTCGCAATATGTCACGGCTCGTGTGCGAGAGTCTAAAGGCTCCCCTATGAATTTCAACTTGATGGGGGCTTTGCATATTTTTATGAGATTAATACAGCGCGTCTTCGAGTCTGAAGCACCCCTGCTTTTTTTTCCTCACTCCCCATTCGGTGTGTTTAATACTTGAAAAGTTCACAATGACGATAGGAAAGCTCACATATCCAAATGTGAGGCATGTTGACAGCACACATGTCATCATTTCATTTTCATTTTTATCACTCTCTATCGACGTGATGTGCGATTTATTTCAGTCACTGACAATTTTTGGGTGAAGTGTGATTGAAAAATCTCCCCCTTGTGATTATTTTGGAAGTGCAATGAGAGCTTTGACGAAGAGAATAGTGTAGAAAATTCGATACAATTGCCAACAATTTACACATTGTATTGCCATTTTTAACACCCCCAACAAGCGTGGGCGGAAAGAATGCATGTTTGTGGTGGAAACTTTCGCGAAAATCAATTTGAATATTTTGGCGAATTCAAGTGAAAGACATATATATTGTGCAAAAGAGGTGGGATTTGCGAAAAAGCTCTCCATTCGTTTCTCCCAGCTCCTTTTCTTCACTCGAGACAATCGGAGCCGTGGGATGTTTTTCTCTCTGGCGTGGAATTTCCTTTTAGACGCCAAAATGTTCAATTGAAAACGAATTTCTCCAAATATGCATATGTATAAATTTGCCAAAAGGACTTTGAATGATGTATGAATGTTGTGCCAAAGAGAACAGGTCAACTCACAATTGTGTTCCAATACAGAATCTCCTTTAAAACACTTTAATAAATTATCAGCTTCAGGGCAATCCGAATACAAAGTATGTCCGTAAAATCCCTCATTATTTATAGTAAAGTGACGCTGAGGAAAATGTCTGGGTGAACACTGCTAAATTGTATTCGATTGTAATCATGAATATTCCTCACATTTTTCCATCCTCAGCTCATGAATATTTTGACAAGAGGGAGATGTTTTCTGCTGAAGATTTCTGGCTCTGTCCTTATTCCAGTCCCAAGAGAGTCAGAGGGAGAAAGAAAGGATAAAACATCAAAATGAGACTCCCAAAACTCTCGTGTGGATTTCATCAGAATTGCTCTTGTGTGAAATTCTACTTTGCCACAAATACGAGAAAATTGCTTGTTGAAGATGAAATTGTAAAACTATTGTCAAAAGCATTCGAGTCGACGTTGATTCACTGTTTGGCACTCGACATTGTGGGTGAGGAAAAAAAAGGGAGAGAAAAATACTTGTGAGAAGCACTTTGTTACAGGGCAATTGGGGGATTTTCTCGTGTACTTTGGGTGGAAAATCTCGAGAAAATTAGAATCGTTCATTGGCCTTTTGGCTCCCATTTAACGCTTATCTTTGTATTGAAAGTGTCACTGCTTTTTTTTTCTTTTCACTGTGAGCTTTATGTTTTCTGTCTGCGAGTTTTTTTTCTCTCCATTCTTCTCTCTGCAAAGCTCCAGATTTATTTATGTTTAGTGGCGTGTAGAATTTTTAATTCAATCATTTGAAATCACATTAGATTTTCTGAATTATTTGATCGTGTCTCTTCCAAATTTCATTCAAAGTAATATTTCTGGGTTTTATTAGTTTGTGTCTCTTTGTTCGCGGTAGAAAAAGAAGGTCGAGGCCATTGGAAAAACTCCCTCGACCTTTTGCCACGCGTATTGGCTTCTGAAATTGTCTCCATGTTACAACTCACTCGATGAAGCATACACACATTATTATCGTGAATAATATTTTGGAGCAATTTATGGTGTTTGTTCCAAGTCAGCAGAAACAGTGCGAGTTGGGGGCAAAAATGTGGCTGTGAAAAGGCATGGAGACTGTGTGGAGGGAAATGGATTTATTTGTGACGCCAGGAATATTCTCTCATTGGGACTTTTCCTTTCTCCGCATGCTATTGAAGCCTTAGACTCTTGGCAATCTCTCGAATCACTGAATCATTCTCATTTATTCTCTGCGCGCCCCCCATTTCCCTACAATATAATATGTATCTCTTCTTCGCCAGTGGGATTTATGATTTGTTGTTCTATCGAAAGTTTCTCCGCCGGCGATTGTTTCTCTCATTCTGATGCCATTTTGCCCTTCATTTTATTGCCTTTTTCTTCCCTCGCTGTGCCACTTAATTTGATGTTGTATTTTCTCTTTTGCAGGCGACATTTTACTCAACAGCATTAAAAACATTAATATCCGTATCGACTGTGATCCTTCTTGGTCTTATCGTAGCCTATCATGCTTTGGAAGTTCAGGTAAGACGCCTTTACATTGCAATATAATTTAGTGCGATGGAGTGTAAGATAAAATACACACAAGTTTGCCAATACTATCGGGAATGTCTTTCACACTCCATAAAGTCAACTGGGAAGTGCCATTAATTTGCGAAGAATCTCAATTCTCACAAGTCACTGTTAAATAATGCTAACACATCTCAAGTTTATAAGACATTTCACACGTTTAAATTCCTCAAACAGCAGCTGCACTTCAATTATTCTGTCGATTTTCGAAATGTCTTCTTGAATTTAATAGCACTTCTCCTCTCGAATGTATTTCTCACAATGCTAGCTTTCTCCGAGATGATGGAAAATGGTTCGGAAAAAGTGATTGTATAACAAATGTTCCCTTTTTCTCTTTCTCTCTGCAGTTATTTATGATTGATAATTGTGCGGACGACTGGCGAATAGCGATGACCTGGCAACGCATGAGTCAAATAGCATTAGAGTTATGTATTTGTGCCGTGCATCCCATTCCTGGCCAATACTATTTCCTGTGGACAACCAAGCTAGCCAATAAGAACAAGGCAATTGGCACAGAACTGGTGCCATATGATGTAGCACTATCATTGCCAATGTTCCTCCGTTTGTACCTGATATGTCGTGTTATGCTGTTACATTCAAAACTATTTACGGACGCTTCATCGCGTAGCATAGGAGCATTGAATCGAATTAATTTTAATACAAGGTAATCTATCTCATCTCACTGTCTCATCGCCTAATGCTTCTTTTTTTCCATTTGAGCGCAAAGTTCCTTTCCGGCGAGATATGAAAAATCACTTACGATGACGCTTGACCCAATTCCATAGCAATCGCCCGTGAAAGACGTGATAAAGTACATTTTTCTAGACAACGATAAAAGTGCATTTTTTCCCCCCACAGGAAACGAATCTCTAACGATTTTACCAATCTATTGTAGCGCAGCCTCATCAACTCTGTGCACTCTTAGCCATTTTAATGCCTTTTCCCGTTGTCTCTTCGCAGGTTCGTTTTAAAAACTTTAATGACAATATGTCCCGGAACCGTTCTACTTGTATTTATGGTTTCACTATGGATAATAGCGTCGTGGACATTGCGACAGTGTGAGAGGTAAGTCTCTTGAAAAATGCACTACAATTCTCTGTGAAACGGGAAGGGAAGCATTAAAAAACGAACTAATCAGTTGACATGGAAGGGAAGACAGAGAGAGCTTAAGCTCAATTTGGAATTCTATATGTTTTTTTTCGTGGTATTTGCTCTTCTTGTTTCCCTTTCGATGTCTTTAAATGTTCCAGGGGAAGTAATAACATGGAAAAACAGAAACTTGAGATGCAAAATTCAATTTTGTATTACTCAAATTTCAGTGAAATGGTCAAATTTTTTTGTATCTGCACAAACACGCATTTCTTTTGGAATTCATATTGTTTTCTTATGCGTGCGTGTGCAGATAATATTTGAACAGGCATTTTTAGAAACTAATTTATATATAGGCAACATTTTATAACAAAAAAAGAAATCAATTTGAATTTGTGGGAATCAATTCGGCAATTCGGAAGAGAAAATTTTATATTTTTGAGAAACAAGTTTTAATTGATGATTTTCATAATTTTCACCATATAAAAAAATGAGTTGTGTTCAATTTATACGATTAATTTTTATGTAAAATGCATGTTTTCTCCTCACATTGCATTCAATGATGAATTTGATGAAACACACCCCCTTTTCTACAGGATATTCTCCTGATTCTACAGAAGAGTACTTTGAGGATTATATACTTTCTTCAGTATTTTGTCACACCCTTGTAGTCTAATTTTACACGTCTCTTTCTCGATTTACTTGTAACTCCCTCGTACATGATTGTTTTCATATTAAATTTCACAGTGAGTGTGTCTTTTCTCCCTTTTTCCCCAATGATTTCCTCATGTAAAAGACATTTGAGACAAAACTCGGTTAGCTTTAATCAATAATTGAGGGACTCGTAATGTCTTTTCTCGTAGAGAATTATACACATACACTGTAAACCCTCTCGAATGTAAATTAAATCCTTGAATTAATTAATCCTCAATTTGAGTCACTGCAAACATAATAAAATGGTTTAGTATTTAAACAACTCTTTGGCCCTTAATATCAGTTTATTTTAGGCTGAGTCAATTAACTCCATCTCTGGAAATGTTTTTCTGTGTAATTTAGAAGATGCTACATTATGTATTTGTTCCAGGAACAAAAGTAGTTTCAGAAACTAACACATGAAACAACAATTTAAAACAAAACATTATCAGTGGTAGTAAAAATTGGACTGTCTTATCTTTTTTTACATTATTTTTCGGTTGTTGAAAATTTTTTTGAGAAAAATTCCATCCATCCAACAGAGAGCAATTTGGTTGGATATGTAATTTTTGGAGAGACGAAAGAGATTTTTTGAAGGAGTATAAAATTTTTTGTGTCTATCAATTTTAGCAAAGAGAATTTTTGTCTTATAATTTTCCCTTGTAATTTCTATATATATTTTTTTTCGTTCTGTAATAGAAAAATCACGCACAGCCATTTAGTTACAATTCCACCTTTTTTTTGTTCTTCCCTTTCGTTCATTATGCCAAAGTTACGAGCTTTTGCGCCATTTCTTTGAGCAAGCTGAAAAGTTACATGAGAGAAAGTTATGAACAGTGAAAATTTATAGTTTCCTCCTTGAGTTCTTTTCCGTTTTTCACTCATGTTTTCTTATTAGAATTAATCATGAAAGTGCTTATCGCTTGCCTTTAAAAAATTCTCCTTACTTTCTTAAATCATCATCACGTCTCATTGCGGCGAAGGTGGAAGAAAGGAGCGCAGTTAGAACGCGTGGCTTAATAAGTAATTTAGTGTTCTCTTCACCCACTCTTTTGAGTTACTGGAAATACACTTCTAGAAGTCTTTATTTTTGATTTTCAGTCGTGCTCATTATTTCAAAGCGGGGATTCTTCTCCTTCCTCATTTTGTCCACTCATTGATTGACATTCATTAGTTATTGACAAGATGTGCGCCATCGCACTTTCCACACAAACACACACTAACACAAGTTATGAAAAGAGCGCATTATCGTGTCAAGTGGATTACTAATCTACGGGAAGGTCAAAATTGGAACTTCATACTTAATTATTCATATTTCTCAAACACGAGACGAAGTGATTTTCAAAGATCTGAATTACATTTTGCATTGAAGGAAAGTCATTGAAGTCACCTTCATTTATTGGCATGTGCGTGAATTTTCAACCAGATTTCCCTCCAAAATTCGAACTTTATGAATCCCATTCCGAGTTTCCCGCAAAGAGCTTTCACTTCTCGCCAAAAAAAAATCCGCTAATAGACTCAAATTGTGACGTGAGATTCGCATTAACATTCGCGTGGAGGATAAATCCACAATGAGCCAGTCAAAGAGCAATTCGGTGTCTTTGACTTGTACAACATGATTTAAGATAATGTCGTGATAATTGAGGCACAACATATCGATGTCAATTGAGGTTGACTTGCGGGGAGAATCGCTGGAATAACATGCTGAAGTGGCTTCAGGCGAGAGCTGCAATTTGCATAATGAATAATGAATATCTCGGCAAATCACTATTAATAACTAATTTATATCAGTCACCGCAATATCGACAATACTTCAACCACATTTCGCTGTGCATAATAGATTTTCCACGTGAGGCCATGAAAGCTTAACTGACAAATAAATGGCCTTACTTCTCTTATCAGAGCGCTTCGAACATTATCGCGTCAAAATTGGAATAAAAGCGCGTTGTGTGGGAGATGAAAATATTGTGTTGTTCTGTGATAAAGAGCATGTCCAAATGTTTAATTAATACTCAGTGTGTTCTCCATTTATCCACTCTCTTTGCGTCTCGAGTATATATGGCTAAAAGAGTGTGGAGCGAATTTTCAATTGAATTCTGACTCTAATTTGTTGTTTGCTCTCTTAGTTCCAGGTAAGAATTCGTCATGTGAATTAATTGCATGCAATTCTTTCTCTCGTATTTTACTTTTAAAACTCTCCTCATCAACACAGAACCGCGCGGAATTTTTTGCTCAAAAAAAAACACGGAGTGAAAAAGTTAATTATATGAGTAAATTCAGGACTGAGTGTATTTAATAAAGTAATTTGTCGTTTGTGAATTTGATTCAAACTCTCAAATTTGCAGTTTTTCTCTATACACTACTGTCAACATTGTTTATAGTGGAAAGTTGAATCAATAAAAAACAGTAACGCGAATGACAGCTTTTTAATTATTACTTTTTTTTTACTATCCGCGGCTGAATATTCCAGAGAGGCAGTATTGGAAAATAATTCAGTACAGATAATGGAAAACGCCAGATTAATATCATATTCAGTTCATAATAAAGTATATTAATTTCCGAATAGTAATAGATCAAAGAGACTATACTGAATTTAAAATCACTTCATCGCGTTTACCATGTGATATCCTCTAAAAGGATGAACTCATATCCTTGCCTCTCTCCACACAAAATCGCGCCCAAGAACCACCCCAACATACTAACTCTCTATGTAGCATAACCCTTGATTGGGCCTAGAAAGGGTATTTTCCTGAACACGGCAGTTCGTGTATTCTCCATCGTCTCGCTCATAATCCAATTACACTTTCTCATTATGCATTCACCCAACATTTTCTCCTCTAACTTAATTATCGCTTATGAAAGTTAATATGACCTCTTTTGTAAGGTAATCTCTTGTTGCGTACTGTATTAGTTTGAACGTTTTCGTTATTACATAGTTTCTATAATTAATAAATGGCATGTTTCTTGCTGTCTTTAAAGTACATTGACATTGATTATATTTGGATTGTGACCCTTCTTCGATCTCTTTTGTTTGGATAAACTTAGTAATTATACTGAATATTTGCCTGTGATATGTTTAAACAGAGTAACATAAGTGAGAAAATATTGATATACAATGATGTGTTGTTTTTGGATTATGAAAAAAAAAAACAGTGACACAGATTACCAGTTTTTTCTTTACTCCAAAACACTTTGGTTATCATTACATTCCTAATCAAATTTTGAGTTACTTTTCCGTTTATTACTTATACAACATTTGGACCAAAAAAAAGGAAAACTTTTGTCTTTAGGTTCTTTCCAAAATTTAATAAATTCATCAAGGTTATAAAAAAAAACTTGATAAAGGAAATACAAAAACATGTTGATTAGACATTAAGAAAAGAGTAATATTAAAATGTTGACTATATTACTAATATAATTTTAAGGCTAATAACATTAGATTTACCTTAGAAATATCATGGTAGATTTAAATTTGATTCCTTTTCCTTCTTCTCTTTATTTTTCTGCGGATGGCAAAGTTGGGAGTTGAGCAATTAAGATAATTTGATAGAGGAAGTGACATGAGAGAATATAAAGCTCTCATATCAGCTTTATAGGTATGAGCAATTTGGAGAGGTTTCATGATTGGTCCGGAAGCGCTATTTCTTCGTGAACCTTGTGTTATTTTTTTGCTGGAAAAAAATATAAAATACTGTAAGAGAGAAGAAAAAAATACAATACAAAAAATCTTCACAATAAATCTCGCAATTTTAGACATTTCTACTCTCCTCTTTCCACCGCGACTTATCGTGTCTCTGAGTGGCAGGAAATTGAGAAGAAGATTCGTACCAGAGAGACTTTTTATTGCTTGTTTGTATTAAATTAGATATTTGATGGGGGAAGAGCGAGAGAGAGAGAGAAAATGATACCAACCAAATAAACTTAAATCTCCCTCTCAAGATGAGCTTTTTTTTCCGTGTCACTGTAAATTTTCCCGAGCACGCTTGCAATCGTTGGTGGAGTCAAAACATGACAAAATGTAGAGCACGAAGAAGAAATGTGAGATAAAAGAGGGCGACAAAACAAGCTTCGCGGTTTGACATTTCGGGCTCTGCAGAGAGAGAGAGAAAAAAATTAATTGTTCACAATAAAATGTGAAGATGAGAAAATTAATTTGATAATCAGTCAACCTCTTTTTCCCTATGGCTCTACTTTCGTCCCTTTGTGCATTGTGGCGTGATAAATTCGCGCAAATTTGCATTGTTTTTTCATCATCCTCCTTAACGCAAACCAAAAATTAATTA